CCGTAAACCATAACACAGGCTATTTTTCAAAATTCGTCGTCCGTAGGATTTGAACTCTAGACCTGCCACTTGGAGAGAATGACGACTAGACCACTACACTAAGTCGCCACACCTCTTCATCCAAGCTATTTATATACTATATATGTACTATATATTTTAATGTAAATCATGTGATCAGATTTATTATATATATATGTATATAGAGTATATAATAACTTGGATGACTTTAACCCAATACAGTATCACTGAACTGATCATTTAATACTAAGTATCTTTTTTTCATTTGTTCACATACAGAATAACAGTTACTAATACTTTATTCTTCTTTCCAAGTAAGTGTTGTTTGAGTAGTTTGTGTTTGCTACATAGTTTTGTATAGCTCTTCGCAGATAGTAAATTGTGTCATTTGTGCAGGTGGTTTGTATTATTGATACGAACACCCTTGGGATTCGCCATTGATGTTGCCATTGTTGGTGGTGGATTTCATCATTTGCTGGTGGTAAACTTTCACTGTTGGTTTCGTTCATTGCTGATGGTGAAAATTTGTTATTGATGTCGGCATTGTTTGTAGTGGGATTTCGTCGTTAGTGCCGCTCTTGGGATTTCGTCAGTAATGTTGCTATTGCTGGTGGTGGATTTTGTCGTTGATGTCGGGATTGGTGTTGGAGTTACTGGAGCCAGAATCTTTTTGTTAATGTCTACGGTGAGATAGTGGGGGTGCTTTGTTGTTGGTGTTGCTGTTACAGGTAGTGAAGCGTTGCAGGTTGTAGAATTTGTCATTAGTGCCTGTGGTTAATGTACATCAAAAAAATGTTAAATATCAAAAATTTTAACTTTATGCATATCTATATATATGTGACAATTCTTGCGTATATTTTTTAGTTTGTAAACTTCTTTATTTCATTTTCTTGTACTTAGATAAATGAATACATTGGGCATGATAAAATGTTAATTAACTATTCGACTAAAAGCTTAAATTTCTTAATTAGAACTATCATGTAATACTGTAATAAAAATTATAAACTGATTAAATACTACTGTGAATTGCCAATTTACAAGACCCAGGTCTCTTACATTTCACGAATTTTAAAACTTATTTAACCCAGGTCTGGAGTATACAGCTAAGAGTTTATTTTACTAAAAGAAAGCTTTGAAGAGTATGCATATTTTGCATTTGTAATAGACATTTCAGATATTGGAAAACCTATATAGATTCTGTAATTCGCCTCTGGGTCTACATGGTGGATCTATTACAAAGATCTTGTATATAGCGATTTATAATATTTAATAGATTACTTTGTACTTTTCAGTTAAGCTAACAAACTAGTGTTTTAAAACTTTATGTGAGATTTAGATCTTTCATTTTTTATTCATTTGTATATAGTACAGTATATCTGATATATAACGATAATATGATTAGTAAAATCTGTACATTTACAAATTGGGATTTTCATTAATTAATTTGCGTTATAGTTATATAGTAATTGTAGATTATTTTATCCAGGTGACTCGCGGATTATCAATTAAATATTTAAATAAAATTTAATATAATAATATTTGAAAATAAGGATTATATTTTTGTAATATGTATTTATATTT